AATCTGATGTTCCAAATGGAGTTGTTTTTAGACAGGAACTTAAAACCTACAGGCCAAGATGGTTTCCTCACACACAGTGTTTCTATGCATTTGACCCTATGAAAATTTCCAGTCAAAAGCTAATTCAGCCGAAAAAACTTTTGAAGAACTTACTGACAAATAGAGAAGTTTAATTAACACTACCTTGACTGTTATTGCAATATCCTCACATTAATATACTAATCTTAGAGATCAGCATTTCTTTGGAGTGGAAGTGATAACCATAAATAACATGAAGGGAAAAGAACTAATTTACCCTACACTTCTTTCTCTCTTGGGCCCTAAGCAGTATTTCTTCAGGTCGTACTGGGACTCCTGCTCTTGGACTTCTTTTCCTGCAAACTGGTTATAGCAGATACAGGTTAAAGATGCTTTTATAATGTCCCCTGTGTAAAAACACAATTTGGTGCACCTGTGTCCAAGACAAGACCCATTTTTATTTAATAAATATTTTAATTAATGTCATAGGTCTCCTTTGGTCAAATAATCATGAAAGCATGCATGGAATTACAGTGAGGACTCAAATCTGCACTTGGAGCAGGCTATGTGTGGAAAGTGGTGTGTTCCTGAAAAATACCATTCATTTTTCTAACAATAGGATACACAGAAAAATTCCACATGAAGAACTTTCCCTAAAGTAAGATCAGAAATGAAATCATGTATATCAATCCAGATGTTACAAAGTTAAATAACAGTGATTTAATAAGCCATTTCATAACATGTGACTGGCCTAGTTTTAAGTGATTTCTTCTGCAGCACTAAACATAGCTGACATTAGTTAATAAAAGTGATTTTAAAAATCTATCATGGCTCAAATTCTTAGGTTATCTGAACTGTGAATAAGAGTGTATTTTTTAACAGCAAAACAACATGATATGCAGAAAAATCGCCAGCTGTTAGCAAACACAGTTTTAAGCCAGCTGCACTTCAAAATAAAATATCCCTAGTGACTTCCTGATGTAAGCAACCCAGCTGTAGCAGTACATGCATTACTAAAATCAAAAATGATTTAATAACCTGTCTAAATTGCTTCATTTACTAATACTATATTCTTCTTGTAAAAAACAAATACAATAGGTTCACTTTGGGATTTTTTTCCCCCCTATGCTTTGTATTACTTATATATGGGTTTTAGTAATTCATAAACCCTTTATGTATTGAAGGTTATTTTCCTTGCATTGACTTTCAAAGGACTGTAAAACTCGAGGATTAGGACAAGTTACACCAGAGGCAATGAAAAGCCATTTTCCTAGCTACTAGTAAGTCCTCATCAAGAGGGGGAAAAAGAAAAAAAAAAAAGTAAATCAAAGGTTATCACAACTCTTTGATGCAGTCATGGGTAGTATAATATATTCACACAATGCTGCTGTATCAAATGCTGTCAGCAGTAAATCACAAAGCCCACTGCATTGATTTCCATCACCAGTCTGACACCCTTAATGCATGTATGTCTTCATTAATATTATTTTATTGCCAGTGGCTATTTAAAAAAAAAAAAAAAATAGAATGCAGGAGAATGTAAAACTGCATGTGGATCATTAGCTTTTAGTTACCATCCTAATGCCCTGCATCGGCAAATGAAGTGTAAAAAGAGCCCGCAGCCTCTGCCACCTGCTTCCCAGCCACTGTCCAGCGGTTAATATTTGGACTCCTTTTGCATGCAGCTGGTTTTCTACTCAGTAGGAGCCCCACTTTCCGTTCCTTGGGAACTACCATGAAATGTCATTTATCATGGCTATAGCAAGAGTCCTGTGTCTTTATTTTTTTTACTGAATGGAAGAAACAGCTGTGCTTTCTACCTCAACATTATTTAAATATTAAGCGAAGTGGCTGCCTAGTTTTGGCATCACGTAGCTCTGAATCAATAAGGCCACATGAGAGCACACACTATCTGCCATAAGGACATAATGCCAGTAATTGCAGAAAAATGCTAATGCTACAAACACACTTTTGATAACAAATTACCGCATTACCTTGGAACCTGATGGGAGGTGGGTTTCTCCACGTCTCCCTTCCTCCCACTCTGGGAAGTCACTAAGTGGTTTTAATGTAATTATGGCCCAGCTATGTACAACTGTTGTTTAAATAAAGCCCCAAGCCTGCAGAGCTCACCGTTACATGTGCCAAATAAGCTTGCATGTCCTTAACATGCAACTACTCCTCTCACAATTAAACTACAAGTGCTGTCTCTCAGACAACCCAGCAAAGCAGAGAAGTAAAAACCTAAAGCTCTTCTGTCACAACATATATTTGCTCTAATCTGATTTCTGATGTGGCAGTAGCTGAGCCTCTACATAAACTGCTGCCATGTGAAAGAAGCTGTATTACAAGGGCTTTTTTCCTAAGCTTCTCATAGTTCTCCAGTTTGTACAGGGCAGCAAAAATGTAAAAGTGCTGTAAATCTAGTACAAGAGCAGTATGACGTCATTTTTCATTTGAAACAAAACTCAGCACCTCTATCCCTGAACAACCAGATCTTTTTTAGACCTAGATGAAATGCTTTGTACCTGAGGACAGCATTTATTGTTATCACTAAGGGTGTAATTATTGTGTTCTTCCTCAATACTCTTGCATCATTATACAAGTCCTGGCAAAAACATGACCTGGATTGCTGGAGTGGCATTTTAAGTCCTTCCTTGATCTTCCCTGCTGTTCATGTAATTTGGCTATAAACATATGATTATGAAGGGAATGCTCAGTCTACAATCATAATAGATTTAAAATGCTTCTATAAGCTGCATGGTTTAATTTGATCTCTATCACAGTAGAACCACATAATTTGACTATACTTTTTAACAGCTCATTTACTAAAATCATTATTGGGAAGAATGTTAAAGTATCCCATGTTAGGAGCTATTAAACTTTTGAGTGAATCATTTTTCTTTGTGGGATAAGTTTCAATGAGAACCAAAAATATTTTAAAATCCTTTGTTCAGTTTGGGGGAGGGGATCACAACAAAACAAATCATTTCAAATTGCAATAATTTTTTTAACTGGTTAATGTTAAAAAAAAAAAATCTCCAATGTCTCTTTTGACTAAAAGCATTGTAGAGGATTTCTTGAGCAGTTTGTTTGCTCTATTAAAGCATTAAAAATTTTTCTTTGGTGGTTTCCACATATTCTCTCGTTCTCTTTGTACTTCACAAATTGAGGCACATACGTGCACATGTACACAAAAATGTGGAACTCTCAAGAACTGAACACATGTGGACTGAACTGTAAGATGATGAGCAGAAAGCACTATTTATGTGTCCCAGCTATTTCCACCCCCTGATGCAGCTGTCCTGCCTCACCCCAAGCAAGTTGAGCTTCTTGCCGGGAGTGTCAGTGGTGTATCTGGGAAAAGAGGTGACTACAAAACGTCAGGAGCAGATGGGATGCAGAGATTGCATACAGTCTGTGAAGACATCAGCTTGAACCTCATCTTTGGGAAAACAGGACAGTTTCAGGATACATGAGAAGCTGAGACACAAGGGGAAATAATTTTAGATATGTGAGCTGGAGAATGGTCTGAAGAAAAGGAGATAGCTGATACAGATGATGCTGTCTTTGTCTCTCTAGTGCAGTTGCAATATCACAACGTTCACATTTGGAGATGTTTGTTCACCCTCCCTTTTCCAGCCTCTTGGTTCACCTACCATTACAGGTGAAGGAACTACTGCAGCCAGAGGCCCAGTTATATTAAACACTCTCTTCAGTATTAGATATTCAAGTATTTATACTCTGTAACCCCTTCAAATGAAGCAGTCCTACAGCCTCTAACTTCTGCCCCTGGAGTCAAGACTTACCAATGCTACAGGGAAAAACGAGAAGAGATTTTCAGGAAAATGTAGCTTTTCATCCCACATTCTCTGATCTCAGCTACACAACTAAACACAGTCCAGTCATGCTTAGTTCCCTTCCTCAGCAAAAAATATTCTTGCTAGGTCATCAGTTTCAGTACTACATTGCAAGATTAGCTTGACAAATATTCACCTGCTGTACAAAAACATATGGTCCTTTTTACCTTATCTTACAGTTACCTCTCGATTTTAACATAATCATAATTCTAAATTTATGTTGCCTGTATTAAAAAAACATTATATTTTTCTGAAACTTGCTCAGTTGGTTTTTTTTTTCCAAATGAAATGAGCTGTATATTAAAACATAAATTACATGTACACAAAAAAAAAATTAACATTTTCCACAGCATAAGATTTTCTTCGTAAGGAAAAATATTTTTTTTCCACATTTTCTTAAATCAACATACATTTCTTCTACTAGCACAGTTGAAGCTCTGATTAATTACAGAATTTGTACATACTACAGAAATCCTGTGACCTCAAAAACTACAGGGATAAAGAAAGAACCTCCTTTTTGGTTTCTAACAGTGATAAACCCAAACACATTCTTTGTTCAACACAGGACTAAACGACATTATCAAAAAGGAGTAAGACACTATATACTGTACACATCAAACTTCCCTTTCAAACCTGCAGGTTTAAACAAAATCTGTAGGTTTAGAAGAAAACTATTAAGTGATATGTCACACACTGATTTACGGCTAACAAGTATAGCAGATCAGGAACTGAGGCTGTATCCTCACATCCAGAGAATCATGGTTTTGTCCTTGCTATGGCTGGGCATGGTGAAAGACCATCTTCTGCAGAAGAAGTATCATACCCTGAGCACCACATTAAGACTATGAAAGTCAAGCAACCACAACCCAGTCTCTTGCAAAGCATCAACAGCTCTTCTAAAGGTGCATCAACAAACAGGTACCAGGTGCCAACTGGTGGGGTGGCAGGAGAGGATTCCTTCAGGGAGATACTGAGTGAACCACACAGACTGGTACACTCAAGTATTTTAACCTGTACCAACAATCTCTCTATGCACATCACGTTTTATCTCGTTTTACATGTCTAAAGAAAATCAGAGCTAAAGCACCTACGTCACGTCTAGTGTAAAAATGCTATACTTACCACATATCAAGGCAAGTGGAATATTCTGTTGATCCCAGAAGGACATCTGGAGGCCTGTACCATAGGGTTACAACTTCATTGGAATACGTATGGCTGGGAACTGATTTTGCTCTGGCAAGGCCTGTGGGGTAAATACAAATAAACTAATGCAAACAAAACAAACAGTTTGCTGTACAGTTATGATCCTAAAAGGATACATGACCACACATCACATAAAATGATGGCATGTTGCAAGCAGTTTTTTCTTCTAGTATTACAATACGTTACTTAATGAAAGAACGTGGTGGCATCTATCATTTAGTACCTGGCTTAACAGAGCTGTGAATATTACGAAGTAATAATAAATCACACTTTTCATAACGACAACCACAGGCCTAGGAGAGATGCAAAGATATACTGTGGCATACCTAAATGAAAAACAAATAAAGATTTACATTCCCATTAACTGTTCATCCTTAGGCATCGATTAGCTTTCATTTCAGTGTTATTTAGAAAAGGAAATGAAAAGAGAACTCCCAGAAAATAGTGCCAGAGATGAGATTTTTTTTTTTAGGGAAGCCTAAGGAAACTTTCCACAGTTTACACTGCAAGCCCTAGCTTGCTTATTCAAGTTTATATTTGAAAGCAGTAGGCAGACTTACACATTACCATTCAAATAAATATTAATACTGCATTAATACACCAGAAAATAGTATGTGCAAAATTCTTCTCTCTCAACAAACGTATATTGGCAGTGTACCAACCTTGGAAGCAGAAATCATCTCAATGACATCTGTGGCCTTCTAAAGATAAACTATTTACAACAATTGTCTTTTAAGCTTGTCAGTAATTTAAAATAATTCACATTACTACACAACCATAATCTATCTCATGTAAAATTGGAAAGATTTTGGGAGAGACTCTCCTAAGCTAAGAAGAGCAGTAAAGAGCATATTTTTCTAACAGTTCTACAGAAGCCTCTCTCCTCTAGGAAAAGGAAAAAAAGACTTTCAGGGCTATGACGACTGTTCCCATCACGTGCCTGCAAACACCTTTCCCAAGTAATCTGCTCTGAGTTAATGTCCTAAGACCATTGGTTTTCTAGCTAGGAACACTGGGCACGCACAAGTAATGGAATTCAGCTAAAGAGCATATTTTTCTAACAGTTCTACAGAAGCCTCTCTCCTCTAGGAAAAGGAAAAAAAGACTTTCAGGGCTATGACGACTGTTCCCATCACGTGCCTGCAAACACCTTTCCCAAGTAATCTGCTCTGAGTTAATGTCCTAAGACCATTGGTTTTCTAGCTAGGAACACTGGGCACGCACAAGTAATGGAATTCAGCAATGTGTGCTTCTAAACAAAGAACTCCTGATTTCCCTTTCACAAAATAAATGAAATTGCTAAAACAGAACGTCATATCTTACACCTTACAGAAACCAAAAGGCAGAGTCATATACTCAGAAAGAACTATGCAACATGAGGATTCACAGAGAGTACAGGTAAGAGTCCTTTGCACCTTTATTCGTAATACACTGGAGAAGCTATTTAAGAACAGTTAATCTCAGTGAATACATCTCCATAGTAATGATGGCAAATCTTGCCAGTAGATTGCATTATCAGCTGATTATAGCAATTAGACCAATGTAGGGGAATAATTTGACTTGTATGCCAGAATTTCTTCTAAAAAAAATTCCATTCCAAATATTAATAACCAGTTTTAGTTTTCAGACTTCCATCTCTCTTCCGTTTCTGCACCTGGCTACCAGTTTGGCTCACACAGACAACTCAGGGTTGGCCCCTGCAGCAGAGCGCTAAAGAGGTCAGAGGAGAGGTCACATCACATGCTTTGCAGTGCCTCAGCCTCCAGATTGATGTTTTGCTTTTAAGAGATCATAAACCACCAAACACTCCAACTGGTGAATAGTTCTTATCCCTAGTCCAAGGAAACATTAGCAAGTCTGAGTTTCTGAGCACCTATATCCCACATGACTAAACTGAAAGAGTAGCCTCTGCATTTGTGGATACACACCTACTATTATTAAGCTAAATAAATAGAATGGAAGGATTTGAGAAACCTGGATGGTGAATCCCCTCACCCTTCTTTGCCTGCCCAAGCCTCCCTTTAGTCTTGCCTGAGGAAGACTGAATTTGGTTGCACGCTATTTCCTCTCTAATCTTCTACCTCGCTTTGATAGGAGAAAAGGCATAGGCAGGCAGGTAAAAGACATTTTTTAGGAAGCCAGCAACATCACGTGATTTGAGAAAAACTGTAAAAAAAAAATTTAGACCTTGTGGGGCAAAAAATGAACTCAGCTCACTATGACACAAAGCCTTTGATCCATACACTCAGGAAATCTTCCATGTAGGGAGGGACATGTACGCAACTTGCCACACCAGAAATCATACTGCAAATATTACAATATCCATGCTTACCTACCAGTTTCTGCCACTTTACTGGCCAAGATGGAGCTTTGCAAGTGCTATACCCAGCCCAAGTATACTTTTCTTCCTTCCGTGTGACCATTCAACATAGAACCAGCCCTCCCATCCTGCTGAGACTGCTGCCCACCCTGTTTCCTCAGCCCACTGCTTCTATATCTCTTCCACCTCTAATCTGGTCCAAGTTAACCAAAATCTATCCGATTTTCAAAGGATGGCAGTTTTTGGCTAATCCCACCCAGTTGGAGAACTAAATGTTTTTCTTTTATCCACTCTTCACTCCCAGAACACCTTGAAAGCCTCCTTCAAGGTTAGCTGCTCCATCTGGTTTCTCATTTATAAGAGGACCACTACCGGAATGGATAAAGTTATAAAGAGACCCTTCATCTGTAAGAGCAAGTTGAAGCCATACACTGACATCAGAAAGCATCACCGGCATTAAGAGGTTTGTGGGTAAAGGCCATATGTTTTAAGTTGTGGCCAACTGGTTTCCTAGCTGGGCACAGACACTACTGTGGAAACTAAATAGCCAAACGGAAAGCAGGAGGGAACAACTGAGGGAAATAATCACAAAGGCTAAAATTTGGCAGAGGAAAACTTGGCACAGTGCCGCTTTCAGTCAGTCACTCCCTCTGTGCAGAACTGAAAGGACCTGAATTAGGCTAACGCCTTGGAGGAACTGCTTTCTCTCAGGGAGGGAGAAAAGTTTGCCCCCCTTTTTTGACTAATGCCCTGCATAAAGAAGGCATTTGCATTTATGAACACTTTCACTTGAAGACTCAAAATTAATGCAAATGTCTCCCTTCACACTTAAGGCATGAAAATACAACCTAATTATTCAGATATAATTACAGTTTTAAAATAATGGTATCGAAGTATATGTATATATGAAACACCAACAAGATACTGCATTTCTTGTTTTGATGCTCCAGATGCGAATAGATGAGCTACCAGTTTGGGATTTGGATTGTTGGGTTTGGTTTTGGTTGGGTTTCCCCCCCCCCCCAAAATATCATTCTGCAAAAAAATATGCTACATATTTTATACCCTTTGCACATCCAAATATGCTTACTCATGCAAAATTTATTTAACCACATCATTCAACTAAAGGAAAACTGAAGGGTAGGATTAATTAGCACAGCATGTTCGATCACTTTCTTTAAGGGTTCCCTGTCTGTTTCCATGGTTACGCTACAGGAAGAGCGACAATCTCATTTTTAAAAAGACAGAGCTTGTGGGGAATCATAAAAACTTCAAACCTTAACAGCTAGTGTGCATAAAAGCCAACAGGTAAATGGAAAGATCACCAGATGAGCACCCAATATTTACATATTGCTGCTTGAGCAATTTTTTGGCTGGGAAGGTGAAGGGAGAACCTCCTGACAAGCAGTGAACTCCCCTCTGGTTCCCATGTCTTCCAAAAGATAAAATGTCACATGTGTCCTGCTGCTGCAGCCTTATTTTAAAAGCCGGAAGCCAAGCATAAGGCCCAGTTATTAAAAATCTGGTCGCGTCAAACCCACTGGGGAACCTGTGTGTAATTATGGGAAGAACAGACACTGTTCACTGTTCTCCAGGCACTTACTTCTATGGCCATTATTTATCCAAACTGAAAGAAGAAACTGTTCTGATGCATTACATACTGCAAGGCTTGCACAACAGCATCTACCTCTGCTGGGACACAAACCACAACTTTCTTTTAACTCATTCATTAAACAACAGCTCAGGATACCCTGCAGTGCTCTGTGTTCAAATTACAGGGTCAACAATCTATGTCTATGTGTGTATGTCTCTTTAACACACAAAACCTCCTGCTGCCTCCTACGCTGAATTAAAAAAAAAAAAAAACAAAACCCACTAAGATATTTCCTTCCTTAGTAAATACAATTTCCTCTGCCTCATCTGGCTTAATCTTTTATCTCAGACTCAGAGGTTGTATCTGATTTTACGTAGCATCAGTTATTGACAAAACACATCACACTGATTTATCACTGTAATTTTTAAATTGCATTTGGCTTTTACAAGAGGCTGTAGCTACATCCAGACTCAAGACCTATTCAATACACACACCTTTGGCTACACAAGCACGAATATTAATATTTGATATCTCTTTAGCTGCAGGAGAGCTTTCTAGTCAAGTTCATATGACAATCAGGAAGCCTTTGTTCACAGTGAATATGATTCTGCAAATGAAGAAACCACACAGACTGCAAAAGCAAGGGCTTGCCAACCTTGCGCAGCTTTTCCCTTTCCATTATACCTTAAATGTGTTCACCTGTTTACTATTTTGATTCAGATTATCAAAAATGGCTTTAGCAAGGCACATTGCGAAAAAAACGTTATTTTGTTGCTCTATTTCCTTGATTCAGATTCTTTTCATGCTTCCTTTTTTAGCCTCCTGTTTTGTTTATTTTAGCAATTACCTAGAGTTTGAGGTAAAGGGCTTGTAAAACCATAACTATGATTCAGTAACAATATTAAAATATTGTTAGTGCACTCTGTTGTAGATCATGATCATTTAGATCATTCTATTGCAAATCATGTCAACTTCACTTAACCTATTTACTCAGCTACTTGTTTTCCAACAGAAGCATATGTATTCAGTGAATACCTGAATGACAACAAAAGAGAAGTAAAATGCGTGGAAACACTAACACTGCTTCAGTGAAGCAGTCTCTAAGCCAAAAGTCAGTTCTTGGCAA